GAAAGAGTGGCAAAAGAAATTTACACAGATGTGCGAAGAACAATGGGTTATTAATATATAATACATCTTTGAAAGTCCAGAGGCTAAGACAAGCTAAAATATAAATTGTCAAAGGACAAGAAAAGTAAATCACAAAAGAAAAATCATTGACCAATAAAACTTCGGGAAAAAAAATTATCCTGCTTGTAAAAAAAATACAAATTAAAGCAACAATGACATATCTCTTTTGATTAAATTAGCAGTTATTTAAAAAACAAAACAAAACAAAAAAAGAACCAAAAAAAAACAACAAAACAAAACAAAAGTAAACAACACAATATTGGCCAGAGTAGAGGGAAGGCTGCAAAGCCAAGATGATGTGAATGTTGTTGGAGAATATTCTAACGTGAACGGAGAAACTGCTCGAAAATCTCAGCAAAAGCAGAATCAAGGCAAGCAAACAAAATATTTTCAATGTTAAAAAAGGAACAAGGCTAATAAGTATCGTGTATCTTAACACGTAACTGAACGTGCTTTTGAAAATGCTCTTAACAATTCAGCCAACTTCAGTGCGAAATGAAAGACATTTTTCTACAACAGTGTCACTGCTGTGGGCTGAATTGTGTGTCCCCACCCGAAATTCATATGCTTAAGTCCTAACCCCCAGGACCTCAGAATTGTGCCTGTAATTTGGAGAAACAAGGTATTTAAAGAGGTAACAAAGTTAAAATGAGGTCTTTGGAGTGGGTCATTACTATTTTAAAAACATGCAAATAAAGTGTCGTGAAATACACAGAATAACTTGGAATTTCAGGAAATCTTGAATATACGAAGAACCCTGCTTCCAAAAGCAGGGTTGATATCATTCCAAAATATCAAATATTAATATCTGTGGGCAATTTGGAAACATTACTCTCTGGCACTTTTATTCATCTAATAAAGTAGGAAAAACAACATGGTCCTTAAAAGCCAGTTCTTGCTCTAGTATCCAATGACTATAAACTACGAGGACAAAGGGGAAACCAGCCAGTCTCGGGTGAGGAGTCAGGCGGGGACCAGCTAAGACTATGTGAAGACCCAGCGGTGGATGGAAGATGCAGGATCTTCGCCTGTGCTGAGAAGGAAGGAATCAGCATTTCCCCGCCTGTGGCTGGATGTACTTTTTCTTCCTTTGCCCCAGGGCCAGCCCTTTTCTACTACACATCCTCCTCCATCAGCCAGTTCAGTTTCCTCTGTAACACACAATGCCCATGGATAAGGAAACATCGGCCACCTGTGCTCTGCTCTACACAGGAGAATCCAGATTGTCTCAGACACAGGGAGTCCAATATGCCGCTTCCTGTGTCTGCCCTCAGGTTCTGGAGAACTGAGCCCGTGGGGCTCCTGCTTACCTCACATGATCCGTCCCGCTCTTCTGGACCCAAGACCTGGGGCCTCTGCGGTAAATTCACATCAGCAAGCATGTCCTTTCTGGACTTCAATTCTTGGTCTCTTTTGCTGACAGCTCCGCTCTTTCCAGGAGCCTGGAGCTGGGTGGGCGTCAGAAGGCTTCAATCAAAGCTGCTGGGAAGAGTCAGGCTGGAGCTGTGAAGGGAGATCCTGCAGCCTCAGTGATGTGGCCTGACCCAGGGGCTCTGCAGGGACACCAGAAATCCTGGAAAGGCAACGACCACATAATTGTCATCTAATATTCACTCCACATGAATTTCTGAAGGCCATTAGGTGAAAGTCACTGTGTTCGAGATGAGGGTAGACAAAACTCAGAAAAGTCTAGCTATTGGGGTAAAAAATGAGAAAAGATGAAGAGGTTTGGGCTAAATTTAAGGAAGCTTTCATTGCAGCTCTGACACCTTTTAACCGTGAGAAGACGAAGATAGTACTTTAGTTGCAGTTTCCCAAATGAGAAGGAAGGTATTTATCATAGGCATCGGGGAGCTTACATGAGATGAGGCTTGTCAAGCCCTCAACACCTGCCTGGCATATGGGAAACACTGAAAAAAATTAGCAAGTTGCAGAGTCAGGTATCAGGTACCTTGTTTAATTTTCATGCAACCCTGTCAGCTAAATATTATGATCATTATTATACCCATTTTGTGGATGAGGAAACAGTGCTGTTACATAATTTGCCTTAAGGTCACTCAGTCTGCAAAGGGAAGAACAGGGAATGAGTCCCAGGTCCGCCTCACCTTAAACTGCACACAATCGCCACTATCCCTTGTGGTCCTCTACGTGGTCAATTTCCAGAAATTCCATTTACATTTCCTGTTGCCTTCAGAGAGCTGAGGCTTCAAGCTGTCTATATCTGGAGTGCCTAATCCGACATTCTGGCCTTTTCAGTGCCCATCCATAATATAGACAGCTCAGCATTTTCTGACAAAAACAAAACTCAAATTCAATATATGGAACTCCACCTTCACCTGGAAAACCTGCAGACATGCACCAGGACTCCCAATCACTTACCATTTCTTGCCTCTCCATTTCTCCCTTCCCGCCCCAACCAAAATATAGTCGTTGACCACACTGACCTCTAGAAATCCCCAATGAGTAGACCAAAGAAGGTCATGAAATGCCTCCCAGTCACCCCACGGCCAGGCTTCTGAAATCATTACTGCCCTGACTGCCAATAAGTGTTTCCAAAGGGAGTGTGATTTCCACAGGACCCCCCAAATAACCGCCAACGTAGGGTTCCAAATAATGCACCCCAGTAGGAAACTATCATTGATCTGCTCAACAGCCAATCACTGACCCTTACCATGTCCACAGGGACCCGAGGAGACCAACACGGACCTACTCAACCATTCACAAAGGACCCCAACACCCACTGCCCAAAAAGCAATGCAGTCACCCTTGCAAACCTCCATCACTGGCCCCCTAGGCCTCCCATCCACTGGTTCCCATATGCTACCCTTAGCACCCCACTTTACTGATTTCATAGATCCTCCCTCAATCACTGTCCCCCTTGCGTGTGTTACAATGTGAGCCTCAGAGCCCTCCAATCCCTGAAGCCCCTGATCCCAATCAACCACTGCCTCCTACAGCGCCCCCAAGCTGTGGATCACTTCCCCAAATGGCTCCCGGTACCACACCAAGGCCCTCTTGAGACGCACGTACACTGTCCTCATATGAGACAGATTCCCAGGCCAACAATATAAAATCTGCATTAAAGTACACTTGAAATTCAAGTTACAGAAATACATACATACAGAAATTAGGCAAAGAAAGAGTGAAAATCAGCGAGCCAAGCATTCAACTTAAATTAGAAAACCCCACTTACCCCATAGCCTCCACCACTAAGAACCCCATCGCTCACCCCATGGGTCCCCACCACTCACTCTTCACACCCGGCATCACTCATCCCACGGGCCCCCATCACTCGGCCCCCAAACGCCCACATCACTCACGCCAAGCCGATCTCCCCTCATTGACCCCACAGATTCCGCATCGCTAATACTCCACATCACCTCAGCATCCCGCAGGCGGTTCACGGGTTACAACATAAGCGAAATGGCCGCTCTGGGCCGCTTGCGGTTTAGGATTCCGGTCAGGACTTGAACTGTGCGCATGCTCACTAGAACCTTTGAAGCCACTGCCTGCTAATAGTTACCATGGCGTGTCACGTCGTCTCTCTACTCCGCGGTTCATTTTCTTTTCAGGGACTGTGTCAGGAGGACGACATGGCCGCGCCCATAAGGATTATGATAAGGAGGCCGCCATTTTCAAAGAACTTCCATTCCGTACAGGCAGGGAAAACATGAGGCAACTTTCCTAAAAAGTCTTGGATTGTCCCGCGTTGGAAAGGGACCAATTAAATACTTGTGTATATATAGTTGTAGGAGAAAACAGCATTGCATGTCCTGAAAAATACCCTTTCTCTGTACTTTTTACACTGATTTAAAGCCCCACCCTCAGAATCCAGTTTATCCGGCTCCTTCGTCCCTCGCACAGCTCTGCCCAGAGAGGAGACACATGTTGGGAGCCCAGAGGTGTTGAGCTTGACAAAGAACTCCTAAAAACTTCGAAACTTCCTTAGTGTTGAGAGCCATTAAAGTGTCCTTTGTTATGGTAATGTGGTTTTTGGAGGGCACTTAAGGATGTATTCTCTCTTTATATACAGGCATTCCTCGTTTTATTCTGCTTCGCTTTATTGTGCTACACCGATACTGCACCTTTTTTTTTTTTTTTTTAAACACATCGAAGGTTTGTGGCAGCCCTGCGATGAGCAAGTTTATCAGCACCATTTTTCCAACAACATTTGCTCAATTCATGTCTCTGTGTCACATTTTGGTATTTCTCGCAGTATTTCAAACTTTTTCATTTTAGTTTTTACGGTGATCTGTGGTAGTGGTCGTTGATGTTACTACTGCAAAACGATTACAACTCTCTGAAGGCTCAAGTGATGGTTTGCATGTTTTAGCAGTAAAGTATTTTTGAATTAAGGTATGTATATTGGGTTGTTTTTCTTTTTTTCTTTATTTTAGACATAACGCTCTTGCACACTTACCAGATTATATAGCGTAAACATAACTTTTATATATGCACTGGGAAACCAAAAAAGAAAAAGATTGTGTGACTCACTTTATTTTGTTTTATTGTGGTGGTCTGGGACTGAACCTGAACTATCTCCAAGGTATGCCTGTCTGCTAAAATGTCTGTATGAATTTGAATTCCTCAGAGGGCACATGCATTACTAGTGTTGATAGATATGGCCAAATGGCTCTCCAGGAAATTGTGCCAATTTGCATCACCATCTCCTGCAATGTGATGAGAGTCTCTGCTTTACTCCAACCTCAACAGCAGGTTGCATTAGCACTGATTTTGATCTTTCCATTCTTAACAATGAAAAATGTACCCCATCATAGTTTGAACTAGAATTTCTCTTTTTAGGCATGAAGGTGAGCATTTTTAAATAGGTTTCATGATGATTAATATTTTCGATTCTAAACTGTTCAGCCATTCAATGAACTGACTATTCATATCTGTTTCCATCATTATTAGCCTATATTTCATAAGGATTTGGACAAGTTGTTTTTTTTTAATTAATTAATTTATTTATTTATTTATTTTTGGCTGTGTTGGGTCTTCGTTTCCGTGCCAGGGCTTTCTCTGGTCGCGGCGAGCGGGGGCCACTCTTCATCACGGTGCGCGGGACTCTCACTATCGCGGCCTCTCTTGTTGCGGCGCACAGGCTCCAAACGCGCAGGCTCAGTAGTTGTGGCTTACGGACCTAGTTGCTCCGCGTCATGTGGGATCTTCCCAGACCAGGGCTCGAACCCATGTCCCCTGCGTTGGCAGGCAGATTCTCAACCACTACGCCGCCAGGGAAGCCCCTGGACAAGTTCTTTTTATATTAGGAAATACAATCATTAGTCTATTAACATGACCATGAATACATTCTCCTGGTTTGTCATTGTCTTTTGATTTCATTTAGCTTGGATTTGCTATCCAAATTTCATTTTATATAGTTGAATTTACGTCTTTAAGCTTTAAAGCTTATGAGCTTATAACTCTTTGCTTATCACTCTGGCATTCCCAACTCTGAGATTATATATGATGTTGTGAAATGTGAAATTAAATGGAGTCATTTATGTCAAGGGTTTTTAAAATGGATCCAGGAGGCCATTAAGGGGGTGGACCTTACGCACGTCCCCACCAGGTGGAACCATGAACTTTTGAACTGGATCAAACCACAGATATTTCAAGAACACTGCAAGAACACCTGCGACTTGTCACTGCGACGAACTTTTTCCACCCTCTAGTTATAGCCTTAGCACTCAATCATGTTCATCTAAGACTAGATTCTGCCTCCAACTCCAATGAAAATTCTTTTTTTTTTAAATTATTTATTTATTTATTTATTTTTGGCTGCGTTGGGTCTTCACTGCTGTGCATGGGCTTTCTCCAGTTGCGGCGAGTGGGGGCCACTCTTCATTGCAGTGCGTGGACCTCGTTGCGGTGGCCCCTCCTTGTTGCGGAGCATGGGCTCCAGGCACGTGGGCTTCAGTAGTTGTGGCACACGAGCTCAGCCGCCCCGCGGCACGTGGGATCCTCCCAGACCAGGGCTCGAACCCGTGTCCCCTGCATTGGCAGGCGGATTCTTAACCACTGCACCACCAGGGAAGTCCCTCCAATAAAAATTCTTTGTAGGGCAAATCTCCCTTTTTTGCCTTTAAAAACCCCTGACTTTTACTCCCATGTGGGACGCTGTTTGGGTTGCTACCTGAATCCGTGTACCCTGAATTGCAATTCTTTGATCCCAAATAAATGCTTTCTGCTTGCTTATTGCTTCCTATATTTATTTAGGTTGACAATGTATGTATCATCGTGTGTACATGTATGCACACAAACACAATTATATTTATGTTTATATTTAATTTGGACTTATATTTACCTATAATCTTGCCAAGGTTTCCTCTCTTCGCCTCTGCCCTCCGCATTTCCATACACACTCCTTTCCTCTTGCCTT